GGGCTAATCAAAGTGTCCCGTGAGCTTGCAGATGTGCAGGTATCAGGACAGCTCAGCCTCTGTTGTTCTTCTGCAGGGCCCCACGGAAGCCTGAACTCCTGAGCATGGCGGGACGGAGGTCTGCTAATGTGCCCTGCCCAACACGAAAGAACCAAAAAACCCAGCTTCTTTTCTGCTGTGAGCAGAGAAAGACAAGCTGAGTCACCTCAAGGACAAACTGCAGAACAGGAGAAGCATGACTTTTCCAGCCTGCTGTTCTGGGAAATTTGGACACAGAGAAAGACACGCATATGAGAAAAATGCTATGTGAATGAGAAGGCAAGGATCAGAGTGACCAGCCACAAACTGAGGGCCACCAGAGACTTCCAGCAAACCAGCAGAACCCTGGAGAGGCATCTGAAACAGAACCCCCTCGTAGCCCTCAGGAAACGTCCATCTTGAACTCCCGGCCTCCAGCACTGTGAGACTATACATTTCTATCCTTTAGGTCAGGTGTTTATAGTACTCATTTCAGCAGCCCTTGCAAACTAATATACATATCTTTATCTGGCTTGGTTTTTCAGCCTTTGTGATGGTTTGTTGAGCTACCCAATGTGCTCTAATAATTCTCTTTCATACTAGAGTTAGTTTCTGGTTTGTGGCCTGGAACCTCAATTGATACTTCTTTCTTTTGGTATTCATCCTTCCCTTTCTCCTTTCCAACACTAGCAATTTCTACTTGGGATTCACCCCAGGACCTGGGATGGAGCCCATGACTTCTGCTCAGCCAGTCAACACAGAGATTGTCTTCCTGGTGGGCAAGTCCCCAGAAACCATCTAATCCCAGTGACTTGCCAGACATTTTCTAGGAGTACTGAGGCGAAGATAGTCTCTCTCTTCTACTGAATGTAAATAAAGATGCCTATAGCCTAGCACAGGTGTCCTCAAACTTTTTAAACAGGGGGCCAGTTCACTGTCCCTCAGACCATTGGAGGGCCAGACTGCAGGCTCTGGGATGAGTTGGCTGCTAAGCAGGACAGACAGCGGCAGCAAAAATACCCAGCAGGCCAGATAAATGTCCTAGGTGGGCTGCATGTGGCCCATGGGCCGTAGTTTGAGGACGCCTGGCCTAGCAATTCTGACAAGTTGGCCTTAGAGAGAAGTCAAGTGAAAAAGACAGGGAAAGATGCCTAGTGACATCTTTGAGCCACTGGCCCAGGCCACACCTGAAGTCAGCTCTCCCTGAGGACTTCTCATCACTTGAGCCAATCAAGTCCCTGTATTGTTTAAGCCAGTTGAAGGCTGATTTTTCTGCTATCTCCAGCTAGAACTGGAACACCCTATCTATGCTTTAAATATCATTCACAAAAACTTGATAAGCCTCCAAGTTACATACTGTTTAAAATATTGGGTCTAAGGCTGGGCGTGGTGGCTCATACCTATAACCCTAGCACTGGGAAGGCCAAGGCAGATGGATTGCTTGAGCTCAGGAGTTTGAGACCACCCTGAGCAAGACCCTCCATCTCTACTAAAAATAGAAAAATTAGCCAGGTATGGTGGTGGGCACCTGTAGTCCCAGCTACTTGGGAGGCAAAGGCAAGAGGATTGCTCAAGCATGATAGTTCACATCCATAGCTGTGAGCTCTGATGATGCCATGGCGACAGAGTGAGACTCTGCCTATCCAGGGTGACAGAGTGAGACTGCCTCAAGGAAAAAAAGGGGGGAGTCTAATTTAGGAATGAAAACCCTTTTAAAACAATATTGTTTTGATTATTCATGAGCTATTAGGTGACATTTAAAGGCAGATGGGGTTGTCATCTCATTCCTGAGGTGGTGGGATTGACCAAAACCAAGGCCACATTTCCTGTCTTCCCTCTCTGTTTTTACCTACCTGTTCCTAAATCATACAACACAAGTACAGATGGTCCTATAATCGTAGCCCTGCCAATTAACTGGAACAAATGAGACAATAAATTCAGAACTCTGTCCTGAGGGGGTGGGGCCGGCACTAATTCCCTCTTCCCCATGGGGTTTATGGTCTGGCCTGGCCACCGTGTGCTTCTTATTTTGTGTCATCAGATTTCTACTCTGGTTCCTAATTTTCACTCCAGTCTTCTGTTGTGACTAAAACCCTTCTCTGAACCTTTGGCCAGGTACTATTCAGTATGCTCCTCAAAGAACAGAGAGACCTCTTTGAATCTGATTAAGGCCTCTGTTGGTATATAAGCACAGCCCCCACCCAGATATTCCTGCTGCCTTGCCTTACCTTGCCTAATTTCTGAACTTGACTTGTAGCCATTGATTCTAGCCTACTTTGGGTCTGAGTTTAGCCTTCAGCCACTGCAATAGGATGACTGGCTACTCTTCCAGGGGGATATCAGGCTCTTTCTCCTACCACTTGCTCCTTTGGCTATGGTTTAGTCCTTTCACTAGTTAGACCTCCAACAAATGTCATTGCCAAAGCCATACGGAGTATCAGATTCTTCCAAAAGCAGCCTCTCATCACTTTAGCTTTTCTTAGCCCAGGTCCCGGGGAGCCAGTGTTCATTCTCTTGAGTCCTCTCCATCTTCCTTCGACTCTCCCTGAATATCAGCACCAACCAGGATGCCTATTCTAGAATTACAATCCCACAGACACCTTCACCCCCTCTACCATGGAAGGGGCCAGAGTTTCTTTTTCTTTAAGTGCCCCAGGACCAAACTATTTATTACTGAAAAGAGTCCTTAGGTATTTGGAATCAGAGAATAGACCGAATAAAAATGGGACTGTGAATGACACATGTGAACAACACACCTAAGAGAGGGATTCAAACCGAGAGGAAGCCCAGATGTTGGGGATAAGTTACTAGACCTATGTGAGAATCGCTATGCATAAAAAATGACCATTACAGGTAAACAGTACATCATAGCAGGGAGGTCATCACCAAAAAATGCATTTCTAGACAATAGAAAATAATGAAGTAAAGAGAGGGAAAAATAATTGTTGTTGTCATGCTAATTTCCTCCATTTATGTAAATTACAGTAAGTAATGATGTCGTTTAATGTTTCTATATTAAAGGTAAATTATAGCAGTTTAGTATGATTTTAGCAGTTAGAGTATGATCCAATGCTTGCAACCTTTCAAAGTTACAGGGACAGTTATGAAAGAAAGTTATGTATTGTAGTTCATGTATGAGGAACCATGCTGGGTCTTACAACATAAGTATGTCTACACGGAGCTCAAAAGTAGAGGCACACACATGACAGTCATATAATGCAGGGTACTGTTATGCATCTAAGGGTAAAACGTGGTGGAGGTGACATCCAGTCGGGTCAGGGAGGAGTTGGCTTCTGAGACCAGACAGAATTCAGAGAACAGACTTAGAAAAAAAGAGATAGCATCACAGAAGCCGCACACTAATTGCACTGATGTCTGTGCTATTTTTGTTTGCCCTCACTAATTTGCCTGTCTGCTGTTATTAAACCATTTGGGAATAAAACATAAAAGTTTTAGTTAGAGAACATTTTCAATACAGGGTTTGGAGACTCAGTGGAGATGGATACCATATTTGGCCAACACTTTTTATGTGTTCCTTTCCCATCCTAAACATGCAGAATAAAATAAATATTTACCGTGGACAGAGCCCCCCTTTCACTGGATTAGTTTTTTATAAACAGCGATCTAACTTGTTTTCTCCCTGTATTTGGAAAACTGGAAAGATCTTGCTTTTCTTCATTGACTACATCTTGGTGGGGAAGTCATTCCAATTTTATTACAAAACGGAGTGACATTTCCCAGAAAGATGGAACATATTTTGACATTCCGAGCATTGCCACCTTAGCAAGATGCTTCACTGTGTTTTTGCAACACCACGTCTGGATCAGAGCTTAAACTCTGGGACCCCACACTGGAAAAAAACTCAGGACTTGCAGATTTTGGCTTTCCTTATACTGAATCAGGAAACAAAAATGTCACTTTTTTGTAACTCTGGGTTTATTCTATTCACTCCCAACCAGATGCACATACTTTGAAAATACTCTCTTCTTTTTTACTAAACAACCATGAATGCGAAGACAATGGCTTGCTTATTATTAAATGGAGAATACTGAGTCTATTACAGGCAGCCCTTGATGTGGTATGACTTCCTGATGAATGGTCACTAATGAAGAAACTGCAGAAGGAAAACTTATTTTATAATACTGAGAAAGTTTATTGTTGTGTAAGCTATTTGGGTTAATGAGTACTTCTTCTGAACCTAATGTTCATGTTATTATAAGCAGAGCAATTCTTGAAAAGTTTTTCTTCACTTCCTTGATTTAGAAATAGAAACCCGCTTGGTTGTGCCTTGTTTCCCATAGAGATGCTTGGGAAGTTTAATCAGTACTAAACTCATTCCAGATTCATTTAGCGGCTTGGCTATGGGTGACTAAAAAGTAACTTTGAATCCCAAAATTTTCAGCAAGTTGTGTACAAGAGTTGGCCTGGGAATGACATATGCGAAATTGAAAAAAGAAAAATCATTTTTTGGCATGTCATGATAAAGAGTAGGCCCAGCATAGTTTTTATGTGATGTAATTATCTTTTCTAAATTCCAGGTGGGAGGGTATGAGCAATTAGGTTACAATGCGTTTGTTAGGTAAAGTCCCTGTTGTAGTTGTGCCTTCACCCTGGAAATGTGCCATGGACCTTCATGTTGTGCCCAGTAGGTGGAAGCACACCAATCCCCCTCCCTCCTCTCTTCTTCAACTTTAACTAAATTGAGCTTTTTCTCTTGGGTGGGTGGGTATTAGATTGTCTACTGGCTTCACCTTGGTATTGAGTACATTGGAGACTTGCTTTTCCAGTCTTGTGATACTTTACTAAAGAGAATGTTCTCCAACTATCCAAGTTAATACAAAAGATGTAAAGTCTCCATCTTTTTATGGCTGAATATATCCCATGGTACATATACCATAGTTTATTAATCTATTCATGGGTTGATGGGCACTCGGGTTGATTCTACATCTTGGACATTGTAAATTGAGCTGCAATAAACACTCTAAAAATGATGGTTACATGCCATGAAGGAGGTGGCAATGCCTTAGCCTTATGTGTGCTGTCAGGCATGAGGGCCTCTTCTGTCCTTGTCAGGGAAGCACTGACCTTCTCTCCTTTCAAACGACACTAATATTATCTTTTGTGTGTATAAAAGTGGGGCTCTCATATGATAATACATAAAACAAACTGTTTCAACATCCATCAAAATAAACATTTATTAAGAGTCTATTATGGGGCAGCACCTATAGCTCAGTGTGTAGGGTGCTGGCCACATACACTGGGGCTGGCGGGTTCAAACCCGGCCCAGATCAGCTAAAAACAACAATGACAAGT